CCGCTCCGGAGAAAGCAGGGGGCATAAACTGCGTCGCAGAAGCCCTCGAGGAAATGCCAGTCTGTGACATTCCAGTTAGCTATGTAGGATAGCTGTGAGTTGCCTCCACCAGCGGAGTCATGCCTAGCGATACCGGGACATGCGCCGCCACTAGCACTACTAAAGGTGCTTCAATAAGGTGGGCTAACTCTATGGTGCTAGTGCTATATATTCTCCACTGCACTCTACCCGATGGGTCTCGCTGACGAGCCGAAGGCACAGCGGTGTAGTAACAGAAAGCGCGCCGAAGGCGCGGGACCTGTTTTGTTGATCAGCGCGCGCTGAACAACAAAAACAAGATAAGCTAACCAGCTTAATGCGCGCAATAAATGACGGCCCTGAGGACACGGGCCGTTGCGAAACAGTTAGTCTAACAGTTACGCATTGGGCCTTACGCCCAACTAACCCAGCTTACTTACGCAAGCTCGCAATATATTGCGTGTAGATTGCCGAAATGTAGCTGGGTCTGTTGTAGGGTAACAAGTCTGCATACGCATCTTTGTCTACACCATATGAATTTTGCGTCGTTAATGGAACCCACAGGGCTTCCATTTACGTTGCAACTGCCCTGTTTTGCTGCTGCCTGCCTCCTTCAATGCAGGCAGCCGACCTGACTGGCAATGTCGCACAGCTGGCGCGTCGTCTAATTAAGGTAGTCTGCCCCAGCAATGAGAGCTACTGCACCGACAAGGATGACCTGCCATCCTGCACAAGTCAAGGCATCTGCGGCGACACCCAGGCCACCGTCTCCAGTGGTGCCACGTCTGGCTCGAGATACACCTCCGCTGCCAGCAATGAATCATTCAACAGCATTGGGTTCCCCAACTTGAAGATTATGGGGCCTCTCACAATTTCAATCCAGCAAAACGCCAAGTATGACAGGTGTACAAGTCTAGTACCGCAGAACCAGCCTTGCGACCCAGGTGCAGTGGCTTTCGATGTGCAGGATGGGAGCCTGGACCTGAGGGTGCAAGTCTGTGGCACTCCACTACGTGCGGCAAGGGCAGGTCAGACACTGCTGCCACTGCTGATTGCATGCAACGTGTCTGTTTCCAGACCTGGCAATTACACAATCACGTACTCGGTGGCTAACAGCGCGGGGCGCTCTGCAAGTGTGTCACGTGTCCTCATCGTGCAGCCTGTCTGCCCTTCTGGGGAGATACTCTGCTCGGATGGCATATCCTGCTCCGACGGTGGCGGTGTCTGCAGATCTAATGTGGAGAGCGCCAGCGTCACAATCTCGTCATTGGTAGCTGCAGCCGCTGCAGAAACGACTATTGCTTTGAAGCCGCAGCTGACTTTAATCACAGCCATTGCAGCCCCAGCACGAGTGCTGTTGCCACGCGGCAGCACTTATGGGCCATGCACTACTGGTGCTGACCTGTCAGCCGCCTCGACCCCGTCCTGTGAGCCAGGCGCGACGGCCATTGACTCCACTGGCACAGTCGACCTAACGGATCGTGTGGTGGTGTGCCCGCCATCATCCTGCCTGTATGGTGGCGGCTGCTCCTCAGATTTGCTGCGAAGGCATACCCTGGCTTCCAAGGGTCTAGCGGGTTGTGGGATTAACACACTCGCACCACCAGGTGCAGTTTTCAACGTCAACTTTTGGGTATGGGATAATGCCCGTCCGCCGAACAACGCCACCGTCCGCCGCACCATCGTCATTGTGGATCCATGCACCGATAAGTCCGCACCTTACTTTTGCTCTGATGGGTCCGGCGGCTACCTATGCTCCCCATTGCCCTGCACTGCCAGTGCATCCCTCCTGCCACCCAAGGTTCCTGGTCCCAATATTACACTGCTGCCACCTGCTGACGTGGCCTACGTGGAGTACGGAAGCGTGTCACCTGTGTACCTGGGGCCCTGCACCTCCATGTTTGATACACGCAGCTGTGGCGCTGTTGCGACTGGTGTGCTGCTCCCCACATCCCCCGCTGCCAACATCACCACTGTAGACCTGACAGCCCAGCTCAGCGTTATCAATACGACACCGTGCAATACGACATCTGGAAGCAGCACCACTTGCCAGTCTTGCAGCTTGGAGGCACTCGCTATGGGCAGCAGCAACTGCTTGCCTGGAGTGTACACATTCCAGTACTCGGTGACTGATGACCAGGGCGTTACTGCGACTGCAAACCGGACCGTTGTTGTTTACCAGCAAGCAACCATCATTGTGACCCTGATACTGTTGGCTGACAATCTGACTGATGCCGAAGCTCCAGCACAGCTCACCGTAAACCTCATGAACAGCAGCCATCCTGATCATGCATCTGCAGTGCAGGAGCTTGTGACTCGCATGGCCAGCTACGGCGTGCAGGCATCCGATATAGATATCTTGTCAGCAACAGTGTTCACGACCTCCCCGCCTCCTACCAACAGCTCCCCAGCAAGCGTGTCAGTCGATGCAGCCATACACATCTACAACCCACGCCACGTGCATCGTTCTGTGTCAGGCCTGTCGCAGTCATCTTCCTCCAGCAGCAGTACTTCTGTCAAGAGGCGTCAGCTCCTTGATGCTGAGGAGCTGGCAGGGATGGTATATGAAAATGACATGCCCATGGAAACACGACCATTGCAGGAGTTGTGGGATGAACTGGTAAAACAGCGGTCTCGGGAGGCGCTTCAAAAGATGCGGTGTCCTGTGAGCAAGGTCAAGAGAAGCAGGGAAGCCCATCAGCTGTCAAGCCACTTTTGCTTGAGGCAGCAGCAGCAGCCCATTCGTAGCCTTCTCCAGGCCCTTGCCAACACCAGCACCACCAGCACATCAGCCATGGACTCCCTGGCTGCGTCTGTAGCCTCCTCCCTCAATGCCACCTCTGTTAACATCACGGTCCCGTCTGTACCGGACCTGACTGCCGGCTTCGTTGAGTCACTGGTGGGCCTTGTCCAGGCCCTGCTGCAGACATCAGATGCCGCTTACACGAAGGCCAGTACGCTTAACTCCAACCTTCCATCGATTCTTGGTGATGACAAGGTGGCAACCGCAGATGAAGGTCGTGGTGCAGCCATGAAGTCAGCAGTGGGCGCTCTTGTGGCGGAGGCAGCCGATGCACAGAATCGCACGCTGGTGGTTTCAGCACAGGTCGAGGCGGGGTTCGACGCCCAGTTGGCTGCCGAGCAGCAGCTGCTGGAGCAGAGCAGTGAATTGGACGTAAAGCTCCGTGAGCTGTCTGCACAGACACGTGCAGAAACGGACCGAGCGCTGTACATGGCAATGCTTGCAGCAGAAGCAGCCAAGGATGCCGGGGAAATAGTAATGGACACAAACTGCTACCGGCTGCAGCGGACAGGCTTTCTGGTGGCTTTTACTCTCCCATACTTCTCACAGGGGTCAAGTGCTGTGCGTGACTTGGGTGCTGACGTCCGAGTTTCAGCTACACGGCCACGCTATGCTGGTGTCCGCGCAGGCAACCGTGTCATTGGCGGCTTGTTGTTGCACACCACCCGCCGTACACTTCCAGTACCAGGAGGAAGCGGAAGCAGCTCGGCGAGGCAGCGAAATGCAGCTTGTGGTAGCAGATTTGCAACCCTGGTTGGCAGATGTCACTTGTATGATGTACCGTTCCTGCAGAGCGGTGCTTCTGCCTCTAGCTTCTTCCAGAACTTGTATGCAGCCCGCAACAACAGCCTTGTACCATATGGGGTTGATCCCGTCTTCCTCAGGTTGGGAACGTTTTGTTGGGGGGGACCTTTAAACTCATGCTCCTACCTTGTCGGTTGCCGCTTAGGAGGGGCCCTTGTCAACACAGAGTGATGCTTGAGTCCCTTGTGACCAGGGAGTTGTAGCGCATTTGCTGCGATTAGGGACTGTCCCTGTGATGGTGTCGATTATGGCGGCCAAAGGGTTCTTTTCCCGCCCATGTTTATTAAGACCAACAGGTGAGCTGCAAGCCTTTGTTCCCTCGATGGCCATTGCACTGTTGACCTGCTGCTGCGGCAGGTCCTCCCCACTTTACCGAGAGGACCTCACCTCGCAGCTCAGCTGGTACTACAACACGTCGGACCCGGCGCAAGTGAGTGTCACGGGCACACCCTACGGGTTCACTTCCCGGGCCCTATCCGGCCGCTCACCCGGCTTCCCCGTGCTGCTGGAAAGCGGACTGTCCGCCAGTCGTGCAGCCCAGATGGTGCGCTATCTGGTGGATGGGAACTATTTGGACCATCGCCAAACCGTGGAGATGACGGCCGAGCTGCTGGTAAGCTTGGGGAATAGCATCTATATGTCAATATAGGGATAGCGCACATGTGATAGCGCACAATTATGTACATAATTGTATTAGCCACACAGATTACGAGCCCCGGCTTCCTGCCTCCCGCGCTCTGACAAGCATACCGCCAACAGCATCAGCACTGCTGCAACGAGCACAGCTCCCACCGCGTTGACACTACCCATCAATTGTCACACGTGCCGCCCTAGCTACCGGCCTGTACGGATGCAGGGGGGCCCCGCCCTTTTTCCGGCTTCAAGGAAGCCGGCACAGCTTGTTGCCACTAGCACGACTTCAGAGTGAAACGTACACACGCAAGGAATAAATGGGTTCGGGGACTGAATGGAAGTTTTTTTAAGGGGGGGAGGAATGACCAAGTCACAGCAGGGGATGAGTGAGCTCCTAAATCACAGGGGACGAAGCATGTATTCGTACATGTATGCGCGAAAAGGCCATCACATCGTTGCCGTACGTTGATCTTTTGCCGCCAACATACCTGGTGGTTGCCTGTGAACAGATCCACACATGCCGTTGCATGCAGAACTGAATGGGTATTTACACGCACACACTAGCATTCATTAGACATACGCAATCATTTCTACTATACACAACTCATTCTCAGTATGCATTATTTTCTCATGACTGTATCTGCACAGGTCTACAACCCTGGTTACCACGCCTTCGCCTACTTCCGTGGTGACTTCCAGTGGTCGGAGGCGGGGGCCATCATAGGCCACCTCTCCACTGTGGGCTTCCCTGCCATGGCCTACCTCGAGGAAGACGAAGCGCTGACGGGGAAGGCGCTTCATCGCGTGTTTGCAAGGGAGTTACTGCCGCTGTGGGTGCTGACGGTCTTCTTTGCATTGCTCACTGCTGCCTCCACGGCCTATGCTGCGGCAAATGCGGCACATTACACGGCGGCGGCAGCTGCAGCAGCGGCGGCCGCTAAGAAACATCAATCCAGGAGGCCTGGTCTGACTAATGGCTGTGGAAGCATCGATGGAGCCGATTTCCTTGCGCCCACCTCTCCTAATGCTGTCGGTGCTACGGAAACGTCCCCAAGGCAAAGGCCCAGTATCAATGCCGAAAGGCAGTCCATTGAAACACAGTCCGCTGCAGGAGCTGCTGGTACCGCCTCCTCGGTTTACGTCACACCACCTCCATCTTCGGGAACCGCTGCAGTGAAGTCCGTCTCACGGCCCGTCACTGGAACAGCCAACACTGCCAACAGCAGCCGCTTTGAGGCCCGAGTGCCAGCGGAGGCTCATGTTGCTTCTACATCACCTCAATTACCCGCGAGCAATAGCAGCACTTTGTTAGCTTCCGCACCTGGCCTTGATGAGCTGTCGGGTGCATCTGCGCGTCGTAATTGGTTTAGGGAGTTTGTGAGGCATGATGGCGGACTGCTGTACGATATACCTCTGGCAATATTGCTAATCGCTGTGTCAGCATTCTGGTCGGTCTTCGTGTCGCAACACCTGGTGCTGTACAAGGCCCGCTCATCCTACCACGTATACGATGCTTCTTCCTTTGCAGCAGCAAACTGGCTGCTGGCAGCTCGTCAAGGCATCGCCGCGGAATTCGCGTCTGTCTACGCTGAGGCTGCCGGTATGGGCATTGACCTTCCTACAGGCGCTGGCGTCCCTGGCCGGTGGTTGCTGCCTACGGAAGACTCGGATTGGGACGCACTGAACGAGGTGCTGCGTAACGCTCACACCCTGGTGGACATGTGGACCACATACGGCATGTTGCAAGCGGTGGTTATTGTTGGCTTGGTTGCAAAGTGAGTGTCGCCATAGGGCTACTGGCTCCAACATGGCTTGCATGCTTCAGGTAGAAACCGCTAGGGTGCACTTTTCCTTTCTGCCGAGCAGCTGCTGCATGCACCATGGCCAGGACTGCTAAACTTCGGTAAGTTTTCTATGGCTTGTAGACGAAAGGGCCATCCTATAACAGATAGTGAAATGATCGTCTAAAGACCGTCTATGTTCAGGGTTATCTAAGAAACCATCTATAGACCATACCAGTTGCAGTTACAGTTACAGTTACAGTTACAGTTACAGTTACAGTTACAGTTACAGTTACAGTTATTGTTATGGACCATGCAGAAAAGTTAATGTGATGGTGTTGGGACGACTGTTGTCATCCTCCTCACCCTGCGTGCCTAGTCTCCCAGATCTCGGACCCAGACCCATTCCATACCATGACTCTATGTATGGATGATCTATTCCTCGGTCGTATCTATCTACAATGACCCTGTACATATACGATAAACAATTTGACCGATGTGCGTGTTGTACTCAACGCAGCTACTGCCCGTGTACCCCCCCCCCGCAGGCTTGTCATGGTGATGTCCTTCCAGGCGCGCCTGGGCATCATCTGCCGCACCCTCATGACCATGTTCACCCCCGTGCTCCACCTGGTCATTATCATCGTGCTGGTAGCCGTCATGTTGGCAGCAGCCGCTAACACCGTCATGGGCGACCGCATGGCGGCGCTATCCAGCCTGGATGGGGCCATTCGGGATACCATCTCCATTATTAGCGGTCCATCTGCCATCAACGTATTTAAGCTGTTGTCCAGCAGTAGCCTCATTTTGCCGGCTGTGCAGAAGGTTGCGATTGCCATCATGGTCGCGAGCAAGGTCCTGCTACTGCTATTCATGCTGGTTTCCTACTTCTTCGCCACGATGGGTTTAATTTTTATGAAGCAGAAGTGCAGCATTGACTGGGAGCGTGCTACAACCGTGCTGCAAGACCTGACGCAAGTTGTGCTGCCCGACTTGCTCCTTACAATCAGAGGGATGCTGTGTGGTGGTGTGGTTCCAACCCGGCTGCGACGGAGCTCCCACATGACAGCATCTGCAGCCGCCGCCGCCGCCTCCACAGTGACGGCCAGCATGACCACCTCCAAGGTTGCAGATACTAGTAATGTAGTGAATGATCGTGGCAGTCCCAATAGTGCAACCAAGGCGTATTGCTGCACACTGGCACGCTGCATGCGGGATGCACCCACTAATATGCAGCTGCTGCAAGTGCTGGCAACAGGGGTCGTGCGTGAGCTGATGTGCAGCACAGAGCTACCCAAAACCTGGAATGGCCGAGTTCGTGCTGTAATGGTAATGGTGGCTGGTGGACAGAGGCTAATTGACAAGGTCACGATGCGCCACCTTATGGCTCTTGTTGCATCAAACACAGCTGCTGTCACCAGTAAAGGCTGCGGTAAAGCCAATACCAAAGTTGAACATTCTGCAATGGCATCTGACACAGAGCATCACAAATTGGTGATGACAATGGCACGACTTGTCATGGAACATGTGGGGCGTACATATGGCTCTTCAACACCTGAGTATCAAATCCTAGAGGGTGCAATGATGAAGGACATGGCAGCACCACAGCGCCAAGTGTGGCCTGATCAGAGAGCCGCTGTAAGGTCCCGGTCCTCAAGGTCTTCCCAAGTGAAGCATGATGACGCCAAAAAGTGCCTGTTCGACAGCAGCGTGCCTCCTGCAAGTGCAAGAGCAAGCCGCGAGGTCGACATCCACCTTTGCATTCACGATGCGCTTAAGGCCACAGTGGAGTCTATGGTGCGCTGGCAAAGAGGTGTACATCGCTGGCAGGTAGACCAACATGATTGCTGTATTAATCCTCATCACTTATGTTGCCCGCCTCACAAACTGCACCCCCCAACCCCCACAGGTCCGCACCTGGAAACAAATGGCATCTACATACCTTTTCAACCAACGGCTGCTGGCTAGCATGGGTGTTGATCTTGCTGGGCAAACGTTCGTGCAGTTTCCCTTAAAGCCGCAGGATGGTGACATGCCACATACACCCCACCTGACACCACAGCCCTCACTCCAGCCGCAGTCAAGTCCCTCACAACAATGGCATATCCGCCAGACATCACTACTCTCTCGGCAGCTGCAGCAACGGCAGCAAGTCTCATTCATCAGGCAATCCAGCTATGCCGCAGCTGATGAGGTCGCAAACGGTGTGCTGTCGCCCTCGCAAATGTCTGTGGTAGGCTTTACAGCTTTGGACGGCAGTAGTGAGGTTGGTGACCAGCAGCACCAGCGTGGTCCACATGAAATCCGGTGCATAGCATCCATGCCTACGCCCATTAGAAATAGTAGTAGTTTAATGCAGGCAAACCGTCACCCAATTCCCACCTTGCAGCAGCAGCTGCAGCAGCAGCGACTAAAACCTCTTCCAGGCCACATGTTTGGATCCCCCAGTGGCATCTTGCAGGCCCCTTCCATCCTAGTAGCTCCACAGCAGCTCTCGGGCAGACCGCTGCCACCATGTGCGACAGCCAAAGTGGCAGCAGAAGGGCTGACGGGGATACAACCCAGCACACGACAAGGAGAGATGGCAGCGGTGGCGGCAATTTGGTCCTCCTCATGGAACGCAGTTATATCAGAAGAACAGGCGGGCTCAGATACAGATGATCTTCCTGTCCCCGCCACCCTTGGCAATCCGCCTCAACTAGCAGGCCCAGTCCCTGGAGGTGCAAATCAACAGCACGTAACACCGCAGGTGCCACTACAGCAGCAACAGAGTGGATGGTTGCCATTACCCCCACGGCCGTATCCTGCTTGGATGCCTGCTGTGAGTGGTGATACCCAGCAGCATGACATTGGGACAGCTGCAACATCCTCGCCATCGCCACCCCTGGTGTCTAATTTGCACTCTCTACCCCACCCGCCGCGGCGAGTCTCATTGTTTAAGCGTACACGAGGCGCAATTGCTGCTGGCGGCTCGCAAAGGGCTCCCCTGTCACAGCAACTATCTGTTGTAGATATGGAAAACAACTCTGCAGGCCATGGATATCGTCACCGTAGAAGTTTTCATGGGTCTGCATTTGGTTGCAAGATAGGGCCGGAGATTAATGAGATTGATAATCAAAGTGCGAGCACCTCGGGAAATGCCAGTACCGGGAGCCGGCGTCTGAGGAGGCCCTCGCACACTGGCGAGGCAGATCCATCTGCAGTGCATGGCCGAAGAAATCAGACAACCCGGCATTCGTTGGCACTGATGACAAATTCCTTAAGGGAGCAGTTAGCCACGATGCTTAGTAAGCTGTCCTTCATGACGGGCAATGATAGCAGCCATCCTTGATATCAGCAACACTAGCTAGATAGGTCACAGCAATAGCCGGCTGGACTGGAACAGCAGCTGTGGCGGCAGTTTTGCAGCATGTGCAGCAGAAATAGGATAACATAGCACAGCGTGATCAGGCCGCACCCGGAAATTTTGGGACGCTGTATGGATTGCTGTATGCATTTGTCTTCAAAGCTCGTGGAGGAAGCCTGAACCATAACCTTCCAAAGCCACATGCTGCTGGAATGCTGTCTATCAAGGAAATAACGGCGAAGGACATTATAAAAGGTCTATCTGCTGGCCTGGATTACGTTCGTGTTCATTGGAGTCATCTTGCTTGGAAGCTGTGCAACTCCAGCGCTCATTAGGTGCATGGGGGATTCGTACGCAAACTGTACGAAAGTCGTACGAAAACTTCGAAAGGTGCTGGCGGGTGGGTTTAAGGAGATGGAGGAGGAGGAGGAGGAGGAGGGGAAGCGGGGAGGTAGAGGAGAGGTGAGGAGCAGGGTTTCAGCAGCAGCCCTGCAAGACATGCTTGCTGTCAACACTACACGGCCAACACAGTCGGTATGGTCTATAGACAGGGTCATCTTATAATAGATAGGACAGGGAACAGATCGTATATAAATTCCTTGTATAGAATGGACTATAGGTCGTGCCACGGTATAATAGATACTCCTTAATACTCCTAGATGGTCTACAGACACTCCTTAACTTTACAGACGACCAGCCAGCCGCTGGTTGGTAGGTGCGAGCTCCCTGCCTTAATACCATGACTGCTGTACAGTGTGTGCATGTGTATTGACTCTAGTTTAGTCGATCTACACGTGCGCTCGCTTGTTTAAGTCTTGCTCCAGCGGGGTAAGCAGATTGAGCAGATGGCCAATAGATTTAGTCGTACGTATTCGGTCGTACAAGATAAATGCAAGCGACCCTACCAACTCCATTTCATGACTTATCACCATCCATCCATGGTAATTATCTTCTGCCCTGTCAAGAAGCATAGACCTGCTCTCCCGGTTTTATTCTTGTGAAGATCTATCGGATGAACCAGCAGGTTGAGCAGCGAGTTTTAATCGAAAGGGAGCGTTTTGTTAAATTTATTAATTAAATAGTGTGGCTGTTACCCTTGATGATATGGAAACATCGGTAGTATGTATTGCAGTTGCAGGTAGACGGGTGCACAGGCAGGCGGGTGCTAGAGAACTGCTGTCGGCAGAAGAGGCTTTTAATGTTGCGTTTCAATTCGATATGAAGACGGATGTACGATACATGTATGTATGCCATTCGGTTGCGCCGGCTTCTATAAGTCAGCAGATGACACAGCAACCCCGTGAAAACCCTAAGTGAGACGGAGGCGCACAGAAGCCGTTGTACCAGAACGGCGGATATGGGGTTCTCCTGATGAGCTTGTGTAGGATGGATCCCAGGAGACTGCGGTCGAAGCTGAACGGGGACGCCATCCATATGTAATATGTCCCATGAAGGTTCCTCGTGCAGGCAGGTGCTCGATGCAATTAATAAAACCTGCTGCATCTGCTAGCTGCCATGAGGCTGTCCCTCCCACATACGTCTAACCGCTAGAATATTATTTTAAACGTCACCAAAACTGGGGATTGTGTTGCGGACTTTGTGGACTGCTGGTGGCAAACACGTATTCTCTAGTGCAGTGCACGGCCACTGGCAGCTGGCCCGCTGGCTCTACTCTTCGTGAGTCTGGAGCCCACTGTAACAACAACACACACACATATTACCTACCTTTTAGCCCGTAATTAATAGGAACAGGGTTTGTGGGTGTCGCATGAGGATTTGACGCCTAGAGAATGCACACAAAATTAAATTTACAACGCTCTTTATGAAGCGGATACTGCATTTTATTTAAATGGCCTCCAGCGGCCACGTGTTTGTTAAATTGGCTATTATGTCCTATAGCCTTCATGGCTTGCTGTACAGTCGCGTTCGAGGTGCCGGATAGGACAGGGCGAGGCGGAACCGGGGCTGCCAAGCTGGGGCCTTACACTACTGCAGTACTGCTGCTCTCGGAGCGCCAGGGCGCGTGTGCGCCGAAGCGCGGTCTAGCGCCGAAACACGGCGCGGTCAGAGCGCACGCAGCGCTGTCCAGCGCGGCCACACCGACACGGCCGAAAGAACTGACACACAGCACTAGACGACTAAACGCAGCACTAATGACTGCGTCCGTAGCTTACCAATTTACCGCCGCAAGCAAGGTGGGCAGGGCCGCCCAGGCGACACTTCTAGGCAGGCAAACGGTCGTGCGCCCGACGCGGCGACTGATGGACTGACGACACTTACCCGCCGTTTCCTACGTGCACGGCTAGAAGCTTATTTGGAGACGAGCGGTACAGACATAAAAAATATACATGATTATACTAGGGTTTGGCACTACTGGTAAGGCGCGACCATTGCCCCCAGGAGATCCCGGGATCGATACCCATTAGGGTCAAAAGTCCTTCCGATGGTGGAAGGCATTGCGCCCCTAGTTGATGGACGGTGGTGACCTGGGATAAAGTTAACCTGCGAGCCGACCAGGAATGGAGTTGGGCCGCTGTCGACCCGGCAGATTCCGTTGGATGCTGGTGGTGGGGGTGGAACCTGAGCGATCCACTGAGAAGTTGACTAGGGTGACTGGTGGAAGTGATGCAGCGACACAAAGCGTCCGCAGAAGAAGTGATGGTGGTTACAGGAGAGCTCAGGAAAAAAGGGTGAGGAAAGGAGAGAATAACATCAAAACGACACCGCTGGCACCGGCATGGTGTTGACAAACAACATAGTGCCGGACAGCAAGAACGGAACCAACACGTTCCCTCAATTCAAGCACGAAAGCGCCTCGCACGACAGCGTTGCGCACGCTGGATGCAGAGACATTTTCCAGGCGGCTCGGAAGCTCCCCAAAAAATCTTCTCCGACACGACCGTCATCTCGGACAGCTCAGTGAGGCCGTCAAAACGAGCTGTACCGAGACAAAACATTTCCCACGTATCTCGGCGACCAGCCAACCAGGAGAACAAAATCCGGTAGAAGCCCCCAAGAGCTGTTAGAAAAACTCCAAAAAGGAAAGGACCGCATAACTGCCTAGGGTTGGCTAATGTCCGGTCCTTCCATCCATCGGCCGAGGTGATGGTGGTGGTCAGTGCGGAGTGTGTGGGACCACGCAGACAGGAAGTCAACAGTAGCTCTCCCCTTCTGCAACTCGCGCCTCTCCTCCTCTACCACCCGCCCCTTCGCCCAGCAGCACACCATCCTCTCTTCCCAGATACACGACCAGCATTCGCAACATCCTCTTCCTCCCTTTCCTCCTCTTTCACGCCATCTCTCTCTTCCCCCATCATACACACACACATCCTTTGCGTCATGCGAGAGGCTGACCCGACGACATGCCCAGCATCATACGATGCCACGCGGGATCGGTAGCACTGTACGCCAGCAAAACACGGGGACTTAAGATGAAGCCGCAATGCAGCTCAAGGGCCCCGTAGAGATTCCACCCCCCTATCATACTAAAACTACATCACCTCACATCAACGTGGGCCAAGGTAGCAACAAACGTCGACCTCGCAAAAGCTGCGCCATGCCGACTCTGACTCTGACAGCCGACGAGGAAAAAGGCACTTTCGTTGCCGCACTCCAGAGGGGACGAGCGTTCCGTTTCCCCTTCCGGCCCACCACCATATCCCGCTCAAACACACTCGTCGTCGTCCTCGTTCCCCGTGAATCCCCCCTCGGACGATAAAAGAGAGCGGGAGGGGGAGAGAGAGAGAGAGGGAGCGGAAAAAGGGCCAGCATGCAAACAAGCAGAGGCCAAAACCTCTTGCTGCAGCTCCGACGAGAGCGACGCCCCACCCCCACCCCACCCCACCCCCCACCGGAGAGAGGAACCTAAGGCGGATATAGCGGGGGCCACTCCTCTCTTCCCACAGCCAGTCAGTTAGTTAGTTAGTTGAATATACGGGCGCCGCCGTCTGCACCACCTTACGGCGCCGGTGCCTCGGCAACCTCAACGGGTGACGCCACCGCCACCGCCACCTCCTCCGCGGCAACCGGGGGCGCCACCACCACCTCCGCCACCACCGGGACGGAGACCACCTTGAGCGGCGCCAGCTGCTCCGAGAACTTGGCCGAGTAAGCGGACAGTGACAGGTAGGCAGAGTAATCCTCCACGTCGGGAGCTGCGGCACAGCCATGTCACAACACAGTAAGGAGATACACAAACAAACATAATTTATTTTTTTACACACATACAGATAAATAATAAAGAAATGAACAACAAAAAAATAAACAATAATAATAAATAATTTATTTTTCACACACATACTTGCGCATACACATGTATAATAAACATACACACACAAACGTAACCACATAGGGGCCAAACAGGGGCCAACATACCAACGGTTGTCTCACGCAACGCAAGCACGGGCCAGATGTCGATGTACGCGGTCACCGTGTCATGGAAACGAACTGATCAAAAGGAGGTTGAGGGGCCCTACCGCGCGCGCTGACAAGATCCATTGGCCGTTCCGGAGCCACTGGACAGCTGCGGCTGCGGCTGCGGCAGAGGCTAGTATCTACGACGTCTTTCTTGGGAGCTCTGCTGCGTTGATGACCCTGCAAGCCCCATTCCGATGGTTCGCAGGAAACTGGCGACTTCCCTTCATCCCGCGTTCGCTGACAAAGACGATGGCGCAGAAAAATACGAAGTTGCGCATGCCGCACACACGTCTCCACGCCACACACATGCACACATACCTCGTGCCCTTTTTGGTTAAGTTCCGCATGTGACAACAAAACTGGACTTCTCGCGGCTCTGGCGATGTTTTTTAACATGCCCCCCCCGGTGTCCCTCCCTCCCCCCGCACAGCCCTGACCTGGTGCGCTGCCGCCGGTGTTGATGAGCGCCGTGAGACCCAGGCCAATGGCACCCAGAGCCAAAACAGTGGAGCCCACAGCCAAAGCGTTGTTAAAAGAGTCCTGCTGAACGGTGTCAGCAGCGCTGCCCGCCTCGAATGGCTTCATCTGTCAGGCGCAAAACATGGGACATAGTCGTGCAAATGAAGACTGGCGGGTTAGCGCGTGTGGTATCATAGTTGGCTGTGAGTCAGGGCAGCGGCTAAAGGACGCTGGGTTGGGAGTGAGCTACTGGCAATTTCGTCGAGCGGGCCAACCGCGCCAGGCGAAATTGTGTTGTGGGTGCGCCCTGACGGCATACGCCGAGGTAGGTGTTATAGTCATCTCTGCTATCATAATATGAGGACGTGGAAATCCATAGTCGAATGGAGTTCGGGTCCGACCACAGGCCCAAAATGATAAAAAGCACCACCGCAAAAGCTGGCGGGACGCCGCGAACGTTTATAAGTATATTTGTACTATGTTGATGCAAAGTTTTTGATCCACGGACGCGACCTTGGCAAAGACGCCTCGTGCATCATATGGGACGGTGCGCTAAGCGACCACGTTCACGACTCACAATTGTGGGATACATGTTGCTCTGGCCAGCAGTATCCTTCTCCACAAAGCCCTCGGCCTACGCGGTACGACCGACCAGGGGCGTTAGGTGCTTGCAGACCGCACAAACGAGATGGCAAGGCGTCGGCAAGCTAAGCGGGCCCAGTAGCTGACCTACCGCCTGCTTGCTGTTCTCAAGCGTAAAGCGAGGCTCCTGTGCAAAAACGATCGTGCGAGGAACCCGGACAGCGCCCATCCGTGGGCTCGCAGCTGGAGCGCTGACGCGAGAAGCAGCACGGTTCAGGGCGAGAGGAGCCATCTTGAAGAAGTACTGATTGCGCAAATGACGCGCTTAAAAAGTAAGAGGATCGTGCGAAATTGACAACTTATTCAACTTGGCAATAGACGATCTCCCAAATTTTTGAGGCAGGCCGCTGTACCCCTACCGCAGCTGAGTTTACAGGCCAACTCCGTATTACTTTTAGCCCTGTCGTGCACAGTAATCTACACTACGTGGGACGGAAGTGCACAGGCGGACGCACTAACACCAGACATGCAATAAGTAAATGCTAATAATAATCTGTACAATGTTTAAGTTCATCTTTTATGCTTGGTTATACCTGCAACAGGTGATTTGATTATATGGCCCGAAATTCACATCCAGCCTGCAGCCTAGGCGCGGCCTCTGGCAAAATCGTTGGCAGCATGCCTTTTCCTAAATTTGACGAAAGCACTTGCTCCGTCCAGTACGTAGCGGATGGTCTAATACGAGATGGATTTCACCACGATGCCTACGGGACCCACGGGTCACGTTATGACACATTTGGCGCCAACACGCGCTGGTGATGCCTCTGCAACCGCACATGTTGAATTGGCCTGCCTGAATTGCGTATACGGGCTCTTTCTCACAGGTGAGTTCCTTTGTAAAATCATCTCATAATTTCTGAGTTGCTAAGTTTCTGGGTTATGCAGGTCATGCATGTATTTCCTCCATGGGGAACGTCACCATCTGGACCACTACATGCCAGGACGCCAGGATGTAGTACGTTGCCTGCCCGCGGTATCTGCCTCCTGAGGAGCCATTTCCCTGGTAATTTCTGAGAGAATACATGATAGGCGATGAGGCCGCCAGACCTCACCTCTCAATCCGAGCAAGGCTGCAAACAGGTATCCAGACCGATTCTTTCGTTGAGGTTCTGCACGTGATTCCTTCAACCCTATGCCTCATTAACCCCTCGAAATCGCAGAGAAGAACTGCCATTACAAGCTTTGCATCAAGGCACAATGCCAATACAATACAGCGGCGCCATGCGCATGTTAATCATAGGGCCATCCCTCGGGGCTCCCAAGGGGTAAGGAGGGCCGTTAGCACACCTAACGACCACTGACAGGGGTTGCTACATATGCTAAACCTGTATGCTGATGTGGAAAGTCATAGTACTGCTTTCAGGGTTGCTTGCATCTATGTTCCAGATTTTTCCCAGAGGGCTCCAGACGTTGAGAAACAGTGTACGGTATCAGTTTAGCGCTAAGACATTGCCGTATGTCGTTAATAACGGTACGCTAGCAGCTTACTCCAATTCGATCGACAAACTTATCTTTAATTGAAAGATTGACAATAACCATTGCAAGGATAGTGAAATTAAAATTATGCGGGATTTTATTAGTTCAGCCAAGTTGTGGTGGCGCAGCTTTATGTGCCGCTCCGAATCCGCAAGCATAGCCGCCTCCCGCCGCTTTTCATGAAGAGCGAGACTACAGCTGTAATGTTTTGTTACAATCAACATATAATACACTTTCATCGTAAGCTACTCAGGTTACTCTCCGTCTCGGGGTGCTCTGAACGTGCTGCGCGCATATCTTTGCGCGCATGTCAGGGCTGAGAGAAACCCGCAGCACCTGAACGCGGTAATGCGCGCGTAGGGAAGACGGAGATTCACATTCTAATCCGTCAAAAGAATCCCACTTCGGTCCCCGCATAACGCCGACATCGTTTGCTTTTCTGGGAGTGTGCCAATCCAAAAGCGTCAACAGAAATGGCAAACACCAATGTTGCATATCCAGTGCTTGGCGTGTATCTGATCCTCATCCTCGGCGCCGGTTTCATCGGTGCTGTAATGAACTTCCGCAGAGGAGCTCTTGGTCATCAGGACCAGGTACGATTCAAAAACATTCGTCAATGAGTCATTCATGATAGTGAATGATGTGCGGTACCACTGTTTGCGGCTGCGATGCTCATACCTAACCTTCCTATCCTTGGGCAGGTTCAGTACCCTTGTCGAACTACTCTAATGCTAATATCCCTACTGTCATTTCCTGCAGGTCCGCGAGCATTTCCTTGCGGGCAAAGGACTGGGGGGTTTTGTATGGTTTTGGACTATGATGGCGACACTTTTCTCGGGCTACTCGGTCTCCGGGTAAGCCATCCCAACGCTGCTTCTGTAGGTGCTGTTCACACCCGACTCATGTCATAAACCAACTCTGTTAGATTTGCATGCAAGGTGTTGCGGATTGGGAAATGGGTGCAACACACAGCCTCCCACCAAGGCTGCGTCCATTGCTGTGGACGTTTTTCCCACCAAGACGCAACCCTGTCATAAAGCGATGCGCGCCTCACCTCACCTCTCTCAGTGCACGACGCACGCCTATCTAACCGTCTGCAAAACCATTTTTCGCAACGAAAGCGCCCCCACATGCCCCTTACGTACACATGCTCTCCGTGCTTAACTCTCCTTGCGGTCTCTTGCCTCCTGCCCTGCCCTGCATCTCTCACACACAGCATCGTGAACGAGGCCTACCGACAGGGCTGGATGGTGACGAAATGGATTCCGGGGGGTGTGGGACTCTACATTGCCTTCGCTGTCATGGCCCCGCGCCTACATGCCCTGTCAAAGCGGAGGGGCTACTTCACCATCTCTCAGGTCATTTACGACCGCTACCTGCCGCCCAGTGGCTCCCACGTCCTTGTAAGCATTGCGGGTTGTCCGCGGATCCGCTATCCCCAAGTTCTTTGCTGGGGTAGTTTAGCGACCATGGGGTAATTGTCCTAGGCTGCAAGTCGGGTTAGGCGGTTAAGGGGCGATGAAGGGGGTGAGGCGCCCTGGAGTCGAGTCGAGTCCGGAAGGCCGCAATCCGGTTGCAGAGGGAAGGTGTCGGTGTTGTTGCTGGGATTGGAGACGGCCTCCCGGCCTCTCCTTGCTGTCACCTCGTAGCTGACTGCGTTTCGTTGATACCTGGGAGGACCTTGCACCCCTAGCAAGTGGCGGCAGAGGCGCCGTGCCTGGCCAGGGCCAGGGATTGCCCTGGATTCATATTCGCGACCCAGGGAGGGGTGGGAATGTGTGGGTCGCGTGGGCCCCCAACCCCGGGTTTCGCAACATGTCTGTAACTTACATCGGTGCCTTGGGCTGGAGGAGGTCACGGGCGCCATAATCGTCTTCCTTCCCAGCCTGTCCAGTCCCGGCCTGAGCAGTTATGAGACAGCTTTGTCGAGTAAAAATAGCCCAACGGTCTGAATTTTGTCTGACGTCTTGCTAAGCTTTAACTAACAAGTCTCGTTTGCCTCCCCTCTTTTGTTTCGACTGCCTTTTCCTTTTCTTCATCCGACTCTCTCTCTCTTTACTGCCGCTGCTTTGTGCAGGTGGCGCACGCGTTGTCGCTGCTGTCGTTTGCCTGCCTGCAGCTTCCAGTATTTACGTATCTGATCACTCAATTCAAGTCGCTGGGCGTGGAAGTCAGCACCTTCACAGGGCGGGAGATCAGCCCCACGGTGGCAATCAATGTGGCAGCTGCGGTGCTGCTGCTATGCGACCTTTTCGGCGGCATGCGGGCCGTTGCGTTTACGGGTAAGCAGGCGGCGTTTGGCACAGCTGCGAGCTCTCTTTGCGACAGAGGTGCTGTGATGCCGGAACGGTATTTTAAGGGTCCGAGTAGTAGCAGTATTGCCGAAAGAAGTGAAGTTGATGATCGGTTGTTGGCATGCCACTGTGTGCTGTCCGATTTCTCGGGCCCCTGCCTGGGCTGAAGCCTGTGATTATGCGAGTTGGCTTTCTTTGCTTTTCGGGGTGCGGTGACAGCTCGTATTGCAGGCGTGTCGAGACGACTAAATGTTTTTTCCTTTTTTTGCTAGTAGTTGCTGTTAATTCAATTCGACGGGAAGAAGCGCTTATGTTTAAGAGGTTATCAAGGCACCTTCCATTCTGTTAACGCCATGTCCAGGTTTTGAATCAAACTTTGCCTTGATGCGCTTTTCCTCCACACCGCTTTTCTTCTCTCCCACCCGGCTACCCTCCGTACCCTCTATTTGCAGATGTTATTCAGGGCGTTGTGCTGTTTTTCGGCTCCATCATCTTCTTGATTATTCAGCAAACGGAGCTGGGTGGCATGCCCGCAGCTCAGGATGTATGGGGCTACGCTAAGCCAACCAAGGCTACTGCACGCTTCTGGTACATGCAACATGTACCAAACAAGGTCGACATTGTCAGCTACTTTGACTTTGTCTTCAAGACCACCGTGGCCGCAACCATGTTCCCCCACCTCACAGCGCGTCTCTTCGCCGCGCGAAGCAGCAAAGTCATTCGCCATGGCATGGCGTGCATGGTCTTTACCTTCTTCGTGGTTCAATTTTCCAGTATGATCACGGGCTGGGTCGCAAGCGCAGCCATCCCCAGCTTGGCCGTGGGTCAGAGCGCCTTTGGAAAGCTGCTCCAGGTCGTTGCACGACGTGGCAGCGGCCAGGCCTTTGCAGCGGCTATGCTGCTGGCTTCTGCGATTTGCGCGATGATGTCGACGGCTGATAGCGCCCTGCTGGCATTCAGTCAAATGTGGGTGCGCGACATATACACCCGATATTTAAGGCCGCACGCAGGACAGATCGAGCAGCTGATTTTTGCCAAGGTGGTGGCGATTATTGGGCTGGCGATTGGCGTCACGTTAGGGAACTACTCTGCGGAGAGGAATAAACCGGATTTGTCCGGACTGTTTGCGCTGCAGAACGTGACGCCCATTCATGTAACTCCAGCGGTAAGTTGGTCTTGTGAGGAGTTTTGTGAGGAGGTGTCTTGTGAGACGGGTAGAAAGAGGAAAGCGAGGCGACGAAATTGGAGCGAGAGGATGTGTGGATGCGTGGGAGTCATCTTGTAAGGCGGGTAGAGGAAAGGCACTGGGATCGAGCAGGGGAGCGATATGCAGGATGTTATAGTTCAGGGGTAGGGATGAAGAGAGAGAGGGAGAGAGGTGGAAAAGGTACGTGGCGGCGGCCTGACAGCCCTGCGCTGTGGATTTACTTATTGTCTAGTTTCGCAGACTACTACTATTACTCCTACTCCTACTACTGCTGCAACCAAGCTTTTCTGCTCCCCTTCTACTGGGTCTTCCTCTGCACGCTGTGGTTACAGGTTTGGCTGGGCCTGCACTGGCGAGGATTACGAGCGGAGGCTGTTCTGACGGGTTTCGTCTGCGGTCTTGGCGTGACCCTAGGCCTGGTGTTTTCGGACCGCAACATCCAGAGAGCCAACGGGTCGGACATGACTGTCGTGGGCATTTCCTCGGCCTGGTTTGGATTTGTCGTCAACATCGGCATCACCATCATCCTGGGCGTGCTCATGCAGCACTTCCCGCGCCTGTTCGGCCTGCAGCCGCTGCCCCCGCCTCCGCCGCCCGAGCAAGTGGAGGAGGTCGGAGAGCACGAGGATGGCTGCGAGTTCGCCTCGGTTGGCACTTCCTCGGGAGAGATGGCCAAGGAGGGTCTGGAGGTGCCGGCGGCGGCCAGCGGCGGCCGCTTTGGCGGCGGTGCCGCAGCCATGATCGCCGCCGCCGCGGCCCGGTCCCCATCAGTTGTTTTCAGTCGTTTCGTCCCACGACACTTGGAGATTGGTGTTCATCGCGATCGCACGTTGAATCCGTTGCTGTTTACGCTTATGGGTCTTGTATTGCTTTTTACGGTGCCGTTTTACCGGGTGCCCATGTCTTGGGACGGCTACGTGGGCCACATTGGCTCATGGGCTTTCACTTCGTTGCTGCTGTCAGGTATTTTGGCAATCCTGGGTGCTCTCACCTTTTTGTTTGTTTGGGAGGATTATAAGCCGGTAAAGGAGGCCGTACTGCCGCCGTCGTATAGCCTGCCTCCTCCTATGGAAGATTGGACGGGGGTTGGCCAGAAAGGTGCGACCGTTGAGGCGGATGTCGGAGAAAAAGGCGGATATTGATGACACGATAACATTTATATATGGCTATATTCTTATAAGCCTTCACCCTTTTCGTGAAGTTGCTAAAGAAATTTAGCAGCGAAGTTATCCCGCGCAGCAACGTGACGATGTTTGTGACCGCGGACAATCTTTCCTTGCGTCTTTGCAGTCATGGCGTGTAGGTACTTGGTGTGGATGGAACTCTTGGATGGAGGCTTGTAGTAGTTTGCCGTTTAAAATTTTGAAGATTTGAAGTTCTGTAATCGTCGGGTAGGCCAGTTGATGCGTGATGTGGCTATGTAAACAGCCAGACGTGGCTACTGGTAAGGAAACCTGTTGCCTAAGTCTTAGGCTTTCGATTGTGCTTTTTCGTAAGTGACTCGTCCGCTGGGTGACAAAATTGGTGAAGTTGACTGTTGAAAGCATGTTTTGGTGTAGCTTCGCGGCTTACGAGGCATGCCAGCGAGAGGATCGGCGACGCTTGACAGTGCTTTTGATCAACACGGCGCGGAGGTGCTATCTGGATACAACGAACTTTTGCAGTCAGTTGTTTGAATGTGTGATTTTGGCGGGTTGTGCTACGCTTCTTTGATTAATGCTTCCTGCGATGAAGGTCTAAATTGCAATTTTTAGAATTATAAGCAGTGAGCTTTTACTTGCTGGTCTGAAGCGCCAGCTAGCCAGGTTTGCTCTTTGCGTTGCCTACAACAATGAGCACAGTACGAGTACAGTACAAGATCTCATCGTTCTCCCATCCATACCGTCTTTTGTCGCTGCAGCAAACAACCTTGCACAAGATGGAATATGCATTATCCTCTTAGCACAGTTTCTCTTGCTGCTGGGCTGCCTTTCTAGAGTCCAGTTTGCGCCGAATTTGCCATCCTGCTTGCCCTGACGTTACGTAGTATATGAAGCGGTTCATACCTCCGGTCGGTTTCCTAAGCATCCTGGGCGGTGTCCATTGCTGCAGCACCCGTGGAGGGAGGGCCCCTCCTGGGGGACCGCAGTGCTCTCTCGCCCGGGACCACCCCACACCCGCCCGCCGCCTCCACTCCTACCCGCCGATTGCCGTCGCATTGGCTCCCATTGCTGCAGCGTTGCTTGGCTGTCCCGGTCCAGTGTAGGGCTGCCAGGTCCCGTTGGTCTTCATGAAGATGTCCACACTGTTTACCCAGCGGACGTCACACTTCTCGATGTTGTGAAGCTAGACGTACATGGGAGTGCGCTGCACCTTCAGCTCCATGTCCCGCTTCATCAGCGAGTCCTGAATGACAACTTTGTCGGCGTTAGCTCCCAGCTGACGCTGTAAGTGCAGGAGAGCCTGGATCACGTGGAAGATGATGTCCACCATGGCCATGTCCTTGAACCGCCCCGCCTCAGTGAGCTTGAGGGTCGACGACAGGAGGCCGAGCCTTAAGCTCACCGAGGGGAGGCGGTTCCATTGTGATGGTGATCGGAGGCGGCGGGCGGGCATGGGGTGGTCGTGGGTGAGGGCAGCAAGGGCAGCACTGTGGTCCCCCAGGAGGGGCCCTCCCTCCACGGGGGCTGCAGTAACGGAAACCGCCCAGGATGCTTAGGAAACCGACCGGAGGTATGAACCTCTTCGTATAGTTCAATGGAATATGCGTGGAGTGATTGATTGGAAACTAGAACAGCATGAGCTGCTTCAACTTGCATTGCGCTATGACATCGTTGTGCTTACTGAAACGCACAGGTCGCTTGTGAGTAGGCTATCTCGGCTGATACCTGAAGGGTCACGTTGCTACCTTGCTAGGAGGTCGAGGGAAGGGGTGGGTGTTCGTGTTTGGGTACATCCGTGTATCGCGCGTGTTATGTTACTCACTGCACATTGACCGACATGCCGAGAGGCATGAAAAGTGTTTGGCTGCGGCTGTGGCTCGTGGTGAAGCTCTGGCTCTGGGAGGAAACTGTTTGGGTATTATTCGCGGCTGCTACACCGTCGCTAGATGCCAGCAAGAGCCGCTAGATGCCAGCAAGCGCTGCTACGGGTGGAAATGCGAGTCAAGGTCATCAGAGCAAAAGGAGAGGCGTTCTCTTAGGACCCAAGGGGTTAATCAGGGTTGCCCAATAAGCCCCACACTCTTCGGTTTTTTTGTTGAAGGTTTTGCAGATTACATTGATGCTTTTTTAGACGTCGTGCTCCCTGCTGCCATGGCGGCCCTTGAGACCCCCAGCGTGGAAGGTCGTCGAGTACCCCTAGCCCGCTACACTGACGACCTGAGCCTGTTCATGATGTCTCACTGAGATGGTATGATGCGCCTACTACGGGCACTGCGGGAGTGGTTGGAGGCTTTCGGTCTTACTGTCAATGCGTGGAAAAGTGTGAGCTGTTGTTTTCCCATCCCAATCGGCACGTTAGAAGGCAGGTCTATGCTCTCAGCGCACATGACCTTGTCACCATGCGTGTCCTTGAGGAGGGGCTACTCACGCCGGTCACGTGGAAAACGTGCGCCCGCTACCAGGGGCTGCACTTCGGATCAAACTCGGGTTTTGTGTCCTGTACGGATGAGTTGTTTTCGGCTGGCCAACGAGCCAAGTTTGCTCTGTGTAACAAGCTGTGCCGGCAGTGTCTGCTGCTGCCTAGCGTCACCATGAAGTGTTTCCAGGCGCAAGTGTGTTCAGTGACATCGTATGGCTCGCAGGTGTGGGGGCCTGACCAGGTTTTGGCGATGTTGGAAAAGGGCTATCCGGCCAGCGAAGCTCCGTGGTCGTGCTATTTCAAGGTGGCTGTGCGGACCGAATGGTCAAGCTCCAAATCCTTTTTATGAAACAGCTGGTGGGGGCCTCCATACCAACCCTCCAGCTTTCGTCCCGGGAGCTAGGGCAGATGCCGCTGCAGCTGCACTGGGCCGAATCCGTCTCTCGCTTTTGGAACAACTTGGTGGAGGACACCAGTAGTAGCGTATACCACAGCACCTTCTGTCAGGAAACTCGGTCGGTTGGCGCTGGTTACGAATTCGCAGTTTGATCCAAGGTCATTTGTGTCCTTAACCACTTAAGAGCATGGCTGGGGGCGAGGAAGCAGTCGTGGGGAGCATTGATACGAGGGTTAGACGGTGCTCGGCCTGCAAGCCTGATATAACGAGGTGCTGATGGACACCCCCCGGGGTGCGTATCACTGACGCATGGGTGAGTGATAGGCTGGCTGAGGACCCTATCGCCTTCACTACGGACGGTAGGAAGCCCGCTGCGAAGATGTGTCGTCATAAGAACTGGATGGGGCTGCCGAAGCCGTTTGAGGGCTATACTCCCCCGGCGCATCATCGTGTCTTACTCCGTTTTCGGTTTTGCGTTTCCCCCTTGGCGGTTAACTTGCAGTGAGAGCAGCGGGTCTAGGAAGTATCGCGTGTGCGCTGCGTGTCGTAGCAACGGAGCTATTGGGGATGAGAAAACATTTCTTGTTATAATATTCGGCGCTTGTTTCTGCACGGCAGAAGCGTTGGGATCTTGGTGTGCCCGTCAGAGGCGATATTCGTGAGATGATCAGCGCGGTCTTGTGAAAACAATTTTTGAAGCTTGTAACATCCATCCAGGCGTAGTTGAGTTATTTTGTTTTTCATTATAATCCAGCACGAATCCCATTGTTGTTACCATTAAAACAAATAATTACAACTTCGCGATGAATAAAAAACACTACCGATCCTTCACCTACACGTTAAATCAGCAGAACTAACAACGCGCAATGTGATCACCTTGCCGTGTAGGAGAAGATGTGCCAGAAGCTGCAACTATGGTTGTCGTCAGCTTTTCCCCGTCAGTGCGCACTCAAGATGCCTCTTTAGAAGCCATCCCCTTTCAAAGCCACGCACGTCATATTCCGACACACCTTCCTATACACAACACAATGGAAAATCATCCGCCACGCCGACGTATAGTTCGCTAAGCTCTCCTCTCTGCTCCTGGCACTCCCAACTCACGCCCTGCTGCGCTCGCACACAGACATCCTGCCAGCAGCGCCACAGTCGCAGTGGCCCTGTCCCTGCTGGGGGCTGGGGCCTGCCGAGGGTGGTGGGGGGGGAAGTGGGGGAGGGTTGGCGCTGTGCGGCTGCCCTCTCAACCCTGAACGCTCACCAGGCTGCCCAGCTGCCACGTCGGCTCATGGACTTCTCAATGTCTGCGTACGGCAACAAGGACAGTCGTACCAGTACGTACCAGTAGCAAGGCGGCAATGGCAATGTCAGGGATTTACTTCGCCAGTGGGGGGGAGGAAGAGTTGGCAGCGCCCGGGGAATGAAGGGACACATATCGGCAGCAGCATCAGTAATATAACATTCCGGGCAGCAGTATCGCTAGCACGCATCATTTGCCCCAAAACCCCGCGAGATCCTCCCGGTGGTTTGCCCTGGAGCACCTCCCTCAAACATGTACGGCACCTCGCTACGACGTCACCACCTTCCCCACCCCCTCACGCAGCCAAGCGCACCCGATTCTCGCGGCGGCGGCCCCCTGGGCCGCCCGGACACCTTCCCCCTCAGAATTGACGGCCTCCTCTCCCTTCCGGAGATCTTAACGTTTCCTGGCATAGGATTACCCCCCAATCCCGCCACACCGGTAGAAACGTACATACATGCATACGTACATACATGCATACATACATGCATACATACATGTATGCATGTAGGTCACGCACAAGACCTCCCGCCCAAGGGGTGGTGGCATCCCCGGTATCCGTAACCCGCTAACCCCTGCGTGCTCCCACACACGTACCCGGTTTGCAGACCCCCTAACCCCCTAACCCCCAAACCCCCAAACCGTCAACCCACATTTCTGGTGGTACTCCTCGGCATCGTACCAGGGTCCCGCGGGATCCAGGGTGGTAGCTAGTCGTACTCGGAATTTGGATTCCAGTTCTGACATTGCGGCCGCTGCGGCCCGCCGCTGCACCTCGTTATGGTACCAGATGGCTGATTTGTACTGGCATTTGGTACGGTGGGTGGGGTCGTGGTCGCGGAAGAACATCTGCGCGCAACGAGCCGCGCCGCCGGGCCGCGAGCCAGCCGGAGGAGAGGGGAGACGAAGGATGATGCAAGAGCAGAGAGAGGGTCATCTGCCCACACATCAAAGACCGAAAACAAGTCTAGGGAGGAGGAAATGGAAGGGGTGGCTGTGGAGAGGCATAGCACACCGCCGAACAGCATAGACCGCAGACAGCATGACGTAACGCAGCACATTTCAGCACATGCTTGGAAGACAAAAAACTTAAGATCTGCGCTACAGCACAGCGTTTGGAGGACTTTTCCTGTTCTGGTTGGGGCTCGGGGCTGAGGACGAGGCTGGTAGACCGACCTTTAGCAGTTCCTCGTACGACACCACCGAAGGGTCGTACCAGATCCGTAAAGCCTCCGTGTGTCCATCGCCCGCGCATACGCTGCCGTACGTGGGGTTGGGGCTGGTGCCGCCAGTGTAGCCCACACGCGTCTTAACCACGCCTGGAAGCTTCGCGAATGAAGCCTCCTGAAGCGCGGATTGTTGTAGGGAGCGTAAATAACACTGTTTGCAAAGAAGGCATCTGTGCAGCAAGGCAACCTCATGTGGTCCGCTGGAAGAAGACTATCAATCAAATAATCGCATGACCTTTCCTAAACAAGTGCAAAGTTTAAAAGCTAGGTTATATACTGGCAGCTTGGACGGAATAATATCGTGGAAGCTCCTACGTTCCCATGTCGGTACTCCCACGTTGAGTCGCTCTCAAAGAGTGTCACGGTGTGCGCTGCCAGCAGCATGACGTATATTAAGCATCACCACCTACCGGGTGCCAGAATCAGCCAAGCGCAAACGTGGCGACCTCCACGGACGGTTCTGCGCCACTCATCGCAGCGCCGTTGGTGCCCAAAGATGCCGCTAGAAAGCGAACCAGCAAACCAGCCCGAGAAGTATGATTTGCATGCGCTATGAATCGGCCGCTCACTGGCAAGACTACAGGATGCACCCTTGCAGTTGGGCGAGAAGCGACGCATGCAACGCACGTTGCGCTGTCACGTCGCGTTGCCAGCATACGTAGCGCCATAGATACTGTCATAAACTACTAGTCAAGCGAATTGCTAAGTTCTCATCTTTCTCTTTGGCTGTCGTGAATTGTAACGCGTAGTACGGGACTGTGTAATCGGTCCAGCCCAGAACCCCCGCGTGCTCGCCCAAGATAACACCCCAAGTCCGCCGGCCAAACCACCACCTTACTGAAGCAATCCTTAGTACACAGGCTAATACTTCGCCCACGGAAGCACTAAGCCGTAAACATTATGCTAACGGCTTCTGGAAACTCCCGCAACATTCGACCCCTCCGTTCGTCCATTGCTCCTGCCCCTGTGTGCGTAGCATGACATACTCCTCTCACACACTCCCAAGGCGGCCCACAGCCGTCCTGCTACAGCCTCCTATTCCGCTGCCGCCGCCACAACTGCTACTGCTGCAGCTGCTCGTGATAATCATTGTCCAGCTGTTGCTGCCGCAAGACTTGTCCTGTCTACGGCACGCGGCCGCCGCCTCCGCCGCCTCCGCTCGGGCTCCCTCAGCACCCCTCACTATCTCAATCTCTGAGCACCAGCAACCCATGCCTGATGTAACCGGGCTCCTACTCGCAAATGAATTATGGGACTCGGACGGATTCATGACGGGGCCTGACTGGGGTGCGAAAGAGGAAGCTCGCTTCCGTCAGCTGACGTGGCAGCCGGCGCCTGCCGCCACCGCCACCCGTGGCCGCAGCGGCGGCGGCGGCGGCGGAAGTGGTGGTGGCGGGGGAGAAATGGACGCCCTGGTTTCTGGAAATGCCGTTTCCGCTCCGGACCGTGCTGAAGGCGGTGAGGCGTCGTACGGCGCCGGAACCGAGGCCGCCATTACCGCCGTGGGCTTTGAGCAGCCGCAGCCAGCTACAACCTGGAGGGACCACCGTCAGGACGTCGGCAGTAGCTCCGACATCGTGGACCCAGGTGTTGAACCTGCCGTACGTACCTCCGAAACCGAAACCAATGGCAACGGCCGTAGCCCGGGAAAGCGGCAGTCGGGTGGTGGTGCGGGTGCCGGTGGCGGCAGCGGCGGTGGTGGCGGCAACGGGGGGGCCGGCGGCGGAGCAGGATCTGCTGGAGGTGGCAGCGGAGGCGGAAGTGGCGGAGATGGCGGCGGCGGCGGCGGCGGAGGCAGTGGTGGCGTCGGCGGCGGTGTAGGCGGCGGCAGCGGCGGTGGCCGGGGACGTACCCGTTCCCGCGGCCGCGCCTTTCCCCTTCCCCGCAAGAGCCCCCTTACCTTCGGCGGCTTCCCCTTCGGCTACGGCGGGCTCTCCGTGACCACCCCCGGGCAGGTGGATGACCTCATCATCCGGGCCATATTCAACCGGTAGGGGGGGTGGCGAGGTAGGGGTTTCGGGGGAAACGGGGTTTCGGGGTTGGGGGGAAACGGGGATTCGGGGTCCCCTGCCCGTCCGCTCAGCTCGACCCGGTACGACTCCGCTTCGATCGTCCATGTCCTGTGTGTGTATGTATGTGTGTGTGTGTGCGTGGTCCCCACACACCCTCTGCCCGGGGCCGGTGTGGACCACTGCTGATGGGGCCCCTGGGTCTCTCGTCACACACACACACACACACACACACACACACACACACACACGCACACGTCTTGTTTACCCCACCACTCGCAGGAGTACTACAACCAACACAACCGCAACGCAACTGCAACACACAACCACCACATTCCGCCATCTGCTACTGCCCACATTGCCCAACATAACCTTTCTCAACCCCCGAGAGACACACACACACATATACACACATATACACACATACACACACACACACATCTCGACACCTTGATTCGTTCGCCTCCTCCGCCTTCTCCGTCTCCGCCTCCGCCTCTTCCTCCTGGGCGCTACATTCGGTCCCCTCTGGTCCCCTCCGCCAACAGCTTGTTCAATTTCCCGTTCTACGGCTACCTCTCGGAGTCCCTACCCAACCAGCTAACCAGGCCCATAGATCTGCTGCCACCGCCTCTGCAAGCTCGGCTCAACCGCACAGTGGTGACGCTGGTGGGGTACGACGTTCTGGACAGGTGCAGTACATCATGCAGGGGGGCGAGGGGTGCGGCAAAGGGCATTTGCGTGAAGCGCTGTTTCATCGTGATTAGCTGTTCGCATGTTTGCCTGTCTGTCTGTCTGTTGATGGTGAGGCACTCAAAAGGCGTACATACTTACAAAACATACATACATACATACATACATACATACATACATACATACATACATACATACATACATACATACATACATACATACATACATACATACATACATACATACATACATACATACATACATACATACATACATACATACATACATACATACATACATACATACATACATACATACATACGGACAGACAGACATAGAGTTGTGGGTCACCCTTTGAATCACCCCTTTAGGGGGAAGAAGGGAAAGGGGGGAGAAAAAGGGGGGAGAAGGGGTTTTAGTCGAAGCTCGTCCCATAAGGGTTCCGAAGGTGGGGACGCCCTTCTGACAGCTGGGGATACGAAGTGTGAGGTGCGCGGGCTGCGAGCGGAGACTGCCTCTGGGATGATGTTGATGAAAAGAATCCGCCAGGCATTGGTACGGGACCCGTATTTTGCCTTTCTGTACATGCAACACGTACAGGTGTGTGTGTATGTGTGTATGTGTGTGTGCGCGTGTGCGCGTGCATTACGCCTTATCCGTCGCTTTTCTCCCGTTTTTTCATCGTGCATACCGCCCCCCCCTTTCCCCCCCCCTCCTCCCTCCCCCCTCACTCTGTCAAAATCTGATAAACTGTGGGGAACTATCTTTCAAACCGGCCGGCTGGGTCGTGGCGAATGCCCCGGGGTAAATGGCCGCACCGCAGGCTGATCCAGCTCTTCATTACACCGCCCAGTACCTCCTCGGGTGATCTGGTTCCCGCCGGCTGCATAGGGCCCATCTACAGCTTCGGCGTCACCGGCGGCAACTGCACCGTCTCCAACACCGACGGCTCCGTCACCTGTTCACAGCCAACCGTACGACTGACGGCGTCGCCGCTGACATGCAATCTCCCGTACAGATCCGGCTGCAGCGTGACGGGGATACAGTTCCGTACTCAGATCCCGTTGGGTCCCAAGGTGGGCGGCTACTTGGGCCCGGAGCCGGCTATCTACCAGGCTGGAGTGGGCTTGAATCTCACCCGGGTTTGGCTGGGCTTCAACTTAAACGCCCGGAGAATCTTTCAAGAGTTCGGAGCCATTAGGTGCGTCAGTGGCGGTTGGGGTGGGGTGGGGTGGGGTGGGGGTGGGG